ATCCTGCCATGGGAGATGGTGGAATTTGAAGTCAATAAATATTTGGAATTAAGAATCCAGCGATGACCAAGAATCCATTGTCGATTGTCAGAAAAACCCATCTGGTTCACTAACGTCCTTAAGGGAAGGAAACTGTCATCCTTACCTGGTCTGGCCTACATGTGACTCCAGACCCACAGCAATGTGGTTGACTCTTAACTGTCCTCTGGGCAATTAGGGATGGGCAATAAATGCTGCCTAGCCAGCGATGCCCTCATCCTGTGAATGAATAAAGAAAACAAAAGTGGTAGGAAGCAGAAGGTAATTAAAATGAGGAGTGTTTTTGTGACTGGAAGCCTGTGTTCAGTGAGGTCTGTAGGGATCAGGGCTAGGGCCCTTGCTCCTTGGGGTATATATAAGTGATTTAGACTTGAATGATGGAGCGTTCATCAGTAAGTTTGCGGATGATTCAGAAATTGTTGAGGTGGCAAATAGTGAGGAAGATAGTCTTAGATCACAGGAGGATATAGACAGTGGGTCAGAAGGGCTGATTAATGGTATATGGAATTCAATGCGGTATGAGGTGACGCACTTGGAATGGAATACATGATGAATGGTAGGACCCTGGGAAGCACCAAGAATCAGAGGGACTTAATCCCTTAAGGTAGCTCGACAGGTAGATAAACTGATTAAAGAGACATATGTACAATGATTCAGAGGTATAAAATTATGAGGGTCATATATATATGGCAGATAGAAGGGAACTTTACCCCTTGATGGATGTATCAATGACCAGGGCATAGATTAAAGGTAAGAGGCAGGGGGTTAGAGAGGATGTGAGGAAAACAGTGTTTTACCTACAGGTTGGTGGGAATCTGGAACTCACTGCCTGAAAGAACAGTACAAGCAGAGACCCTGAGAACATTTAGAAAGTATTTAGATGTACACTTGTGATGCCAAGACATATAAAGCCACGGTCCAAATGCTGAAAAATGGGATTAGAATAATGAGGTGGTTGTTTTTGACCAGCAGAGATTAGATGAACTAAAGCGCCTTTTGCTCTGCTATCGACCTCTATAGTTCCACACCTATCAAGTACTGTCTATTGCTATTTGTATTATGTGCAAAAGCTGATTTTATGTACTTATTTTAAGCAGCTTCTTACTTAAATGTTGTGAATCATTATTACAACTGCTATTGGCATATAAGAAACCTGAAAAATCTTTCCAGTATTGAGTGGGTTACCGCTGTCTGATTGTACACTGAATATAAAAATTAATTGCCAATGTGGGTGGTCACCTTTTTGAAATCTCAAGATCTGTCACGAAGAATGCGCATCTTGGCAATACAATCCATATTGCCTACTTGACCCCTTATGCCCATTTACAAGGTACCGACTCATAAAAACATACACTGTGACGCATCGAGAGCATGTCATGGCTGAATAGGAAATGCTGAGTATACAGGATTACATGATTTTGGGGCCAAAACTGCGGTTGTCTTACATGCCACAATTTACTATATTTTAATGGGGTTTTTTCTGTATGTTTCAATTTTTGTACAGTTGAGTTTTCTATCTCGAAAATTCTTTGATTTTCAGGTGCTTGTGTGGACAGATTGCTGAAAACGAGGGCAGGAATCATGATGTGAAATTAACTGGTGCTTATTCTTTCTGATGCAGACTTTATACTACCTGCACATTTAAATGATTGTGGCATGTAGGACAGAAATAAGCACACTGTTGTGTGGGTACATGTCACATCAGGGGGGCCAGTTCATGTGAGAATAGCATCGCTGCTAGCCTACATAATTTGTAAAGGGAAGTGCATTCCGGCAGTAGCAGATGCTAAATGCCTAGTGAAGAGTGTCTAAGCTCCAAGAGAGAATGTTGTGCAACAGGGCAAGGACTGCACTTCAAGGTTCACTGATGCAGTTTTGCAGTCCTTGGTGCATGAAGTCAACAGAAAACAGGTCCTTCATCGATAGTGAGCTAGGAGGACTCCCAGGCAAACTGAGTTGGCAGTGCGAGCAGAAGTCAGTCAAATCATTATTGTCCCAAAGTTCTAAGTGCAGTGCAGAAAAAGTTTTAATGGCTTCATGTGAATGGTTGAAGTCAGTGATCTTCAAATGTCATTGCCCTCAAACAATGCTCAATTTACCAAATCCTCTTTATTTACCATCCAATAATCTTTCTCAACCACAAATCATGCTTCACATTAGAGTCTCACCTCAGCCTACACCAGTGAAGCCTCACAAACACATCTCACAATTTGTACACAATGCCAGCTGTTCAATCAGGACAGTCACATCATCTAAACACAGTGCCTTGTGCACTGACACACACTTCTCACTCTTGTAGGATGAGGTTGAGCACAACTGGAAAACTGACTGGGTGAGGATAACAAAGTCCTCACTCTGATGGCGGAGATGGCGCTTGCCATCAGTGAAGTGGCCATCACCAAGATTATGGCCCAGGATGAGGCTGAAACCATTCAAGGCAACAGTGTGCTTACATTTTGTCGTCCTCCTCATAATTTACTTTCTCCTTATCCCAAACACGCTTCTGATTTACAGGCTGCAGACGGTGTCAGCATGCAAATCTCGTTTTCCCCTCACTCTGCCCTAACCGTGGGATGGCTTGGGGATGGGGGCACCTGTGTGATCCCTTATGCTACTGGCTAGTACCTTGTGAGAACCATTTACTCTCCTTCCTTCCAGAGGTCCAGCCAGACATTCCCCTGCCCTGATTCTGAACTCTTCCTGCCATCTCCAAAGCTGGGGCCAGGTGGTAAATTACCTTCAAGTAGCGAATAAATGGCCTCAGTTGGGGCAAGACAAGAAGCCTCCTTTAGGGCTCTCATACCCACATGAAATTGCAGGCAGGAGGGCAACAGGAAGACCTGGAAATGTTAGTGACACAACTCAACCCCCCCCCCCCCACAACCTGAAAATCTGTAAGTAGGGGATCTGTAAAACTCAACTTGTGCTTCAGAGAGTGGTGTATGTGTGGAATTTACTCGCGGGAAGACACAGAGCATGACCAACCAGTAGCTAAATGCCACTGTCATGGCCGAAGATACTAACACTCAAAAGGAGTTTGCAGAATCTGTCCATGATCCAGGAATCTGTGCTCCAGCAAATCAAAGCCATGTCCGAGACCTCCCACCCTGAAGGAATGGCAGTGGCATTGTCAGCTATCAACCTGCCCTGCCCTTTCTCAGGAAAGACTGTGTTTCTGCTTCAATCAGAGTCATTTCTCCAGGGCTTTTGCTGTTGCCTATCAATCAGCACAGAACGCTTCTGCTCATGTCAAGATCATACATTGCAAAGTAGCCCTTACAGGATCAGGGGCAGCATGAGAATGGCCTGCAAGACCAGTTGCAGCCTCTTCACTAAATGTCAGCAATCTTTTAAATATACTGTAGCCATTCCATTCAAAACCTGCAAATCAATAAGTATGAAGCCAAGACTGCCACAAGGGATCCTAACATCTTGGTGAAACCATTTGCATGCTCTGCCTGCTTATGTCTGGAATAAGAGAAGCACTGTATTCCTCTCTCTTCAAGTGTACTGTGGAAGGCACCTCCCATACACAACAGTGGATGACAAACTGTAAGATACTGATAATGCTCCCTGCTCTAATCTGGGAAACCAATGCAAAGAACTCCATGACCACAGTCACTTGCACAGCCATTGGCAATGCTGATTTTACTCTGTTTTGAGGTGCAGTTCTTACTATAAGACATGGCAGATTTCAAAGTGAAGACATTGCACATGCAGTGCTTGACATTGATTGAACATTTTGGGTACAGAGAGCCTTCTCCCTTCCTGAGCAGTCTCTGTTTCTTTGCCCTGATAGGCTAAGGGGCAACAAACCACAAAGACTATAACTGAGAGTAAATGAGTCAAATTGGTCAGAGTCGAACTCTCGAAATGAGAATGAAGGACTTTCACCATGTGACACTTTACTCTCCAATTTGTAATTAATAGTACAAACTACCAGAAAACTATTGGTGGCTTTTACCCCTATAAATAGTACTGGTGAGGGATTCTATCTTCTGTTGACCCATGTTCAACTGTGTTCGGTTAGGCTTTAGCTGGAATGCTGAGATTGGAATTTTCCCAGTTTGCATTACCAGCTGATACCCTCTATGCCTCCAGCACAAGCTTACAGTGTCCATGATAGCAATGTACCAAGATGCTATGGAGTGTCCTTGCTGTTCGTAGGAGATATGTTTCAGGAAAATCAATGAACAGCAGAAGAACAACAAATAACGAATTTATGCCCATTAAGAATTAATGAATTAATTTTTGGCAACATGCCGAAATAGCAATGTAAGTAAGAAACAACAGAACAAATACCAAAAATTGTTCCCTCTGAAAATAGGGGCGTTTATGCAAAACAACTAATAAGCACAATGAGCAGATCCAGACACAGCACTATTGCCACACTGGACCCACAACTATGGCCGTTGCACTTTATGGACTTTCATAGTAACATATTACTATCAGACTAAGGCAAAATATTGCTGGAAACCTGAAATAAAAAATGAAAAGATCAGGAAATACTCAAAGCAAGGAAGCATAAGTGGGAGAGAAACAGGTCAACTCAGCCAGAAACACAAACTCTCTTTCTCAATACAGACAGTACTCTTAGAATTTGATTTAAAGCACTCATATTTCAGCTTTGGTTAGCTTTTGCTTCCCAAAGTATTTGCAGTTCCAACCAACAGCATTACCTTGAAGTGCAATCTTTTTGAATTGAAATAAAACACACAACAGAATTATTATAACTCACAAGCCAAAGCAATAAACCACTTTGTTTAGAAATGTATCACAGTATCATTGTAATGTATCAATGTACCATTGTAATTTATTATTATGTGCAAATTAACATTCACTTAAGCTAGCCATTAATTACCTAATTGAAATAAAAAGATAACTCAAAAACAATATATTAAATCTGCAATTTAATGGAGAAAGATTAATTTTATAGAAATGCATGAAAATGAGACATTTGATAATTTAAGAACATAGTTTATTGAAGTAATTTAATAGTTTTCATTTTATTAACACCTCTTTTCATTCATACATTCACTCAAAAATATGTTTATAGACTACATTATAACAAAATGCTTTTTATTAAAAGTAGATAAAATAATCTAAAACCACAAAAGTAATCCACCTTTTAAAACACTAAAACCGCTATATACAGTTGATGAGTGCTGCCTGCTATTTCCACGAGATTACTGCCGTTCTAATCCATTAACTTGTTGCACTGTTAGTCTCTGTGTAGTTTACTTTTGTACTACTTCTGGAATTGACGGTAAAATGAGAATAATAAGGATCTTGCATTCTGTTGCTGATTATGAGGTATTTGAATTCTCTGAGGAATCTTTAATTCAATGCACAACAGGATGTTCGTCAGACAAGGGTAGATATAAACAGCTTCAAAATCATGATTGATAGAGGCAGCATCAACGTCACTATCAAACAAGACTAATTGCAACCAGTAATACTACCAAAAAGGTCAGGTTTCCACAGACGTAGAGTGTTAGTACCATAATTTTAAATCTGTGACCCTGTAATTGTAGAATGAAAAATAAATGTAAGTTGAGTTTATGTTTCTGCTGTATTTCTGTATTTACAATTTACATAAAAATAATTGATATCTTTAGGTACTTCTGATGTATTCAGCAAAATAAAGCCGTTAAAAAAAAACTAAAAGCATGTACCTGTGGATCAATCAATTCACTTGAATCCATTATTTGCATTTTATCCTCTTTTCTTTTCTGAGCTATAAAAGGTTGAAATCAAAGCTGTTATTTGGTGCAATTGAGAAATATTTTTAAAATAAAAGTATGAAGGGTAATACTAAATATGCAGTACTGGCACAGAAGATTTCATGTTCTTACTCAAAGTGAAATAACACAATTACACTACAGCTTTTACAGTTACCACAGAAACAAACTGTTGCTGGTAAATGGTAACATAATAAGAAAATGTTAATCCTCAGTTTTGCCCAGTGCAGTGTTTTCTCCTGCTGTGAATGGGTTATGAGAAATTAACACTTCATTATATTCTGTGCTCAAATTCTCATTATGTACATCTGATACATGAAGCTCTGTGTGAAGCTCTATGTCAGAATCACTGAAAATAAAATTTCCTTTGGGATGTGTCTGAAACCAAGCACTGTAGGAAAGTTACTGTAAGATTGTGGTAAGTGTTATATTTGTTGTTCAGTTTTGATCTAAGCAAGCTGAAAACCTTCCATTGATACAAAGCCATCACTATTAAGCAATTTGTCTGTCAATTGACATCCCCACAAATGGTAGTCAGTATGTTTTCAGACTGGAATATCCTACCTGGAATGTTTGGAAGGATTGATATTTTCAGCTTGGAATGGAAGCATTTGAGAAGCAACTTTATTCGGTATACAAGATAGTATATGGTGAAGTTACAACATATGAAAAAGAGAGAAAGCAGCAGGCTATAAACAGAGTGTAGTGATCCCACAACCAATCCATCAGAACAAAGCTCTACTACATCCAGTCATGAATGGTGGTAGACTATTAAGCAGTTCAAGATGGCAGCTCATCACCAGCTTCTCACGATAATCAAAGATGGGCAACAAATGCTGGTCTTTCCTTACTCCTCACAATCCATGGGAAAACAAGGGTCAAATAGTGACAGTAGAGTAAGGGGTCAATGTTCAAAGCAAAGGTGTGTATCTTTAGGACAGATGCCAGGAATTTCGTCATGCAGATAGTGATCAACACGTTTAGTTTTATCCATTTGTGATGAGCCTTTATTAGCCAATTGAAACTGCTCAAAATTTTTGCAATCATTCAATGGTTGTCAAAATTCCTCAAGCTGCTTTAAAAACTTAGGCATTTTGATTTGCAGATATCTCCTACTTTTTCATAGTAAATGAAGAAACAATAGAAAGGAGCTGTACAAATAGAAAGAATTACTGACCTTTACAAGCGATTATGTAATTATGTACCTCCAGAATCAGTTCAGTTGCAACATGCCAAACTATGAATCCAACCATGACTAATGTATCCCAGGGGTTATAGAGGTCCAAGGCTGGCAAATCCATTCCAAGAAAGATTGATGCAACTGTGCAAAGTTAAATTAATCAACTGAGTTAGTTTTTCTAATCAGCAATTTAAACTGACAAATCTTTTACTAATGCAAAGGATTGAAAAAGTGTACTTCTCACAGCTCCAATCATATTCTACAAACAAAATCACAGAGATGTTTTAGACAGGAAACTTGACAGCAGTGTTCAAAATGATGAAGAGTCTATACACAATAGAGTAATAGAAGTAATCCCTTCTTGGATGAAAGTTCAAGGACTGTAGAACGCAGGTTTAAAATAATTGTCAAAAGCACCAAAACAGACCTGAGAAAAACGTTTTTACAAAAATTAATCTTGCAGTGACCCAGCATAGACTTAATGAATCAATGGTCTCTCTCTCTATTCTGTAACCTTTCTATGATTCTACAACACATAAAATATGAGGTAATCTCATTTGGTCTAATCCCTGGTGCCAGAGCATTACTCTGCCACCTTATTGATACATCAGTAAAATATATCTGATGTTAAAGAAGAATGGTCATCACCGAAGAAATAATGTCTGTGCATTACTTCATTGTAATTATGTGATCTATAAGTGACAGAGTAGTGCTTTGTTATACCATGCCCTTTAAAATTAAGATATATTTTTGCCAAAGAAGTTCAAAATGCTTGTTCTTGAACATTTGCTTCCTTAAAGTTATAGCTGAGTACATCTCAATGTTTCTTTGTTTATCATTAATTCTTGAAGGGTTTAGATAAAGTAAACCATTTCCAACATTTCCAGTGAAAGGGTACAATCTAATCTGATTGACAAACAATGATTTAAAAGCAGCCTGGGGGCAACATTTTCACACAGAGGATGATGCGTGTATGGAATATGCTGCCAGAGGAAGTGGCAGAAACAGGTACAATTATAACATTCAAAATACATTTGGACAGGTGCATAATAGGAAAGGTTTAGAGGGATATGGGGCAAATGCAGGCAAATGCGACTGGTTCAGTTTAGAATAGCCGTTTGGCATGAACAAATTGGACTGAAGGGTCTGTTTCTGTGCTGTATGACTCTATGACTCGAAGTGACATAACCTTCTTTTCTATAGGCAACAGGAATCTAGATTTGGAATGCAGAACTTGATGTGGCATCAGTAGCCTTTGTAAAGTTGTAAAGGAGAAAAACATTGCAGCCATATGAGAAATTAGTGGAAGAGTGGAATAAACTAATTTGCTGCTCTGTGCAAATGTGGAGGCCCAAATGGCAGCCTCCTGTGCTGCACTATTCTATAATTTCCCCTACTTACACTTACCTGACTTAGAAATCAAAATATTGGGTGGGAAATTTGCTCTTGACAAAACCCCTCAAATATACTTGAAGGAGACATTAATTAACATGACCTCTAATGATCTGTTGAACTTTTTTTAATTATTGTGATCACTTTTAGAGAATGAAATAGAATTTTCATAGAGTTTTGCACCACCTTTGAATATTCTCTGATGGATGAATGCTCTTGACAAAACCCCTCAAATGTTCTTGAATGAGGCACTAATTAACATGACCTCTAATGATCTGTTGAACATTTTTTAATTATTGTGACCATTTTCATAGAATGAAATAGAATTTTCATAGAAGTTTGCACCACCTTTGAATATTCCCTGACGGAAGAATGCAGAAGGAAATTTACCAACTACCAAGCAGCAGGTTCTGTCATGCCCTGATAGAAAAATGCAATATCTATTCCATGCATCTTCTGTGAGGCAAGTTGAGTTGTTACAAATACTTAGTGAAACACATATTCACCTTCCATACTGAGTGTGCATTTTAACTTACTTATAGAAAGTAAATTCATCTAGAATATATTATTCCATTTTACAAATATATTTTCTTTACACAATTAGGTAAAAAAATTCTGTTAAATTCGACTCAACATACTTTTGTTTTTAGTAAATATATAAACTTACCTGCTATTGTTCTAGCAAAGGTGCCTGTTGCCCAATGTAACCAATTAAAAATATACCGTCTGCAGAAGGTTAAAAAATAAGTTAGAAATGTTAGGTTGTGGTTCACACCAAATTGTAAGGATGTGCTCTTTGGTTTGCCTTTAAGATATTTTTGGAATAGTTTTCTTTCTAATTCTCAAATATGGTAACAAATAGTTGTTTGCTGGTATAGAACTTGCGTATTGCTGAAAAAAGACAGATTTTATCAAAGCTTTAAGTCTTGCACCCATCAGGACAATTTGCAAGAAATACCAATGGAAAAGTTAAACAACTTTCAAACTGTAAGATAGGTCAGTGCTGATTGGTTAGTAAGTGGTATCTGAGGTGGTAGAGGTGTTATGTGTATAATGCACTAGTTAATGATGACTGACAGTTAAAGGTCAAGGTTGTTTGAATTTTTAACCAGGTTCCAATTCTGACCCTGATTGAGCAAGGAATTGCCCTGGGAAATGAAGCACTAAATAGCTATCACCTATCCTGTAGCATAAAAAGAGATGCACATATTCTTTCTATTTGCATTGAATGGGACCCTATGTATTAATATAGTTTTATCTCCCAGTACACACAAGTGTGCTATAGTGTGAGCCTGGCTTACAATCCTAATTTGGCTGTCAGTGTAATTCATTGCACATTCACGATTGAGTAATAAATGCTGTTCAGGACACTGTGTTGTGAGTATCTTCAACAACTCTTAAATATTCTAATACAAAATGGTGAGAAAATATGTTATCAAAAATGAATATTATTAGACCTACCTGGGTGCTTGTGGATTGGGTCTGAAGAAAGCCATAATTGGCTGAAGAATTACCAGTATAAGAATCATACAGCCAAAGTATGGATGGACACCTGCACACTAAGAGCACAAACATTAATGTATGATAAAACATCCTAGAAATATTACTCATTTCTACAGAACTCCCTTCAGAACTTAACTAGCGTAAGAAACAGAAAGTGGTGGAAAAACTCAGTAGATCAGGCCATAGTCATGGAGACAGAAACAGAGTTAAAATTTCAGGTTGATGACCGTTCTTTGGAACTGGGGTAAACTTGGATATGTAACAGGATTTGAGCAAGCAATGGGTGGAACAAAGACAAAGGAAGATTTATGGTAAGGTGGAAGACAGGAGAGATTAAATAACAGAAGAGTTACTCTTACAGCACCAAAGGGAATGTTGATGGAGCAATAAATTCAAAGAAACTATAGACATGCTGAGAGGTCTGTTGCTGACTGAAAACAAAACTAAAAGAAATCAAACTGTGCAAAGGAATTAAATATGAAAACAGAGTTTACAATCTGAAATGATTAACATAGAATACCTGATCATAAAATTAGGAACTGTTCCTCAAGCTTGTGTTGACTTTCATGGGAATACTGCAGCAGGCCAAGGACAGAGACCTTAGCATGAGTACAAGGTGGAGAATTAAAACAGGCAGGCCACTAGAAATTCATGGTCATTCTTATGGACTGAATAGAGAAATTCTGAAAAACTATCTCCTAATCCCTCATTACAGACCACACAACCAATGAAAACAACAAATACTATATTCTTAATTGAAAGAAACACATGCAAATTACTGCTTCACCTGGAAGAAGTGCTTGAGGGCTTGAACAACAAGAAAAGAGGAAGTGAAAAGACAGCTGATAAATCTCCTTTGCTTGCAGGGTAAGGTGCTGTGGGAATGGAATGGGATGTTGGGGTTGATTGAAGAGTGGAGACCAGGTTATTATGGACGTGAAAAGTGGGAAAGATGTGCTTAGTGACAGCATCCCATTGAAGGTGGTATAAATGAGTGATGCATTGAGCTGGTGGGATAGACGAGAGGAACCTATCATGTTCCTCAGAGGGAGGTGAAAGGCCAAAAGTGTCAGTCATCCAGATATGGTTAAAACACAGACATCTTTTAAGGGCTGTTGAAACAGCTGAGCTCCACGGAAAACACTGCTTGATTGACAGCTCTAGTTTTTTTTTCTGATCTCTGTGTGAATAAACACTGTCAATCAGCAAATGATAAAAGGGTTTCAAGTTCTCAAAGTTTCTGCTATTGGATGATTGATTAGTTTGTTCTTGTTTAGGAAACTGGTAAGTTATGAGTTTGTGACATTTTTAAAGCTTTTCTTTAAACAAATCCCACTGCCACAAAAGGACATAAAAACACATTGGTTCGATATAGAGTGTGTCATGTGTGATTGAGCATGAGGGTGCCATTTGCTGATATGGGGGCTATGAGAGGCCATGGGGAGATGAGAAGGTGGTGGCAAAGAATTACACAGATTATGCATAGGGAGCATGTGTAGGGTGAGGTCATGGGAAGGGAGAAGGCTAATAGGTTTTGACGTTTCCATTATAATTCGAAAAAGTCTGAAAGCACTGAAGTGGGCCTTTCAAACAGGCCACCTCAGCATCCCAGCAGTCCCCTTGTGGCTGCCTATGAACAAGTAGGGGCAGCACAGTGGCTCAGTGGGTAGCACAGCACCAGGGACCCAGGTTCGATTCCAGCCTCAGGCAACTGTCTGTGTGGAGTTTGCACATTCTCCCCATGTCTGCATGGATTTCCTCCAGGTGCTCCAATTTCCTCCCACAGTATAAACTTGCGCAGGTTAGGTGGATTGGCCATGCTGTAGTATCCAGGGATGTGCAGGCTAGGTGGATTAGCCATGGGAAATGCAGGGTTATGGGGAAAGGGTAGGAGGGTTTTGATGGAATGCTCTTCATAGGGTCAGTGTGGACCAATGGGCTGAATGGCCTGCTTCCACACTGTAGGATTCTATGGTAAGTATTATCTAGCTCATTCAATCGATATAGAATTAAATTTGCAAATTCTGCAAGCACTTAACAAAAAAAAACCTTAGGTTTTGTTTCTGCCTTTGAAATGTATTGATTACATTTAATAGAATGAGAGGAGAATGAGTGGGAAATTTTTCATGAATTAAGATTTTGTAATAAAGGCTCATAAACATCCCATGACTGAATTGGAAACAGTGCAATTTTATATTAACAGGTGTTCTTACAACGTTCAAAATAATGTCCAAAGGCCTTGAAATGGAGTCATGCACCCCTGTTTACAGGTGCTACACATCCTCCTGTTCACAAAATGGCAGATTGGAAACACAGGCACATTTGGGACTGAGTGTGCCACCTACCACATTGGACAAGAACAAAACAAGAGTTGTCCTTTACCATTCCCAAATCAGGCTTTAGGCCCCTTACATATACATTCTTGCCACATTAGTTCTCCCTAGGGCAGTTAAGGCTGCATGCACTTAACAAAGAATTAACACCAAAGATTGCTTGCAAAATAAAGCAAGTTACTTTACTATGCAGCACTATCCTAGACACTGTCACTGACAAGAAGTGACACGATTGATATTTTGCTGTTCTTTGAACAATAAACACTGGCAACTTTACAAATATATCACTGCAAGGAATCAATATTTCTCCAGAAGAGTAAAAAACACCATGAAAAAACAAGGTTGTGCTTATGCTGCAACACAAGGGGGTGCACCTCTTCACATGCAAAGATGCAGTGTCAGGCTGTGACTGTTTAAATCAAGAAGTGTTTTACAGTTCAGCTCTGTTTTCTGTCACTGAATTATGCATGTAAATAAAACAAGTTGGTAGTTTATCATGGTCTCTCATAACTAGTCAGAGAGCAAACAATTTAATGCCCATTCAAATGTTTTTGCAAGTAGTAACTGCAAGATGCCTAGGAATGACAAGTACATTTTTCTCCCCTCAACAACCAACTAGTGCTGTTAGCTGTGGAGTTTCACAATTGTTAACAAAAATGTGAATGAAATAATATTTCTTTTTAAAAATCATCACCCAAGTGGAGATTGAAATCGTGATCCAGAATCCTATTCCTAGGCTGTACAGCAACGCCCTGCACAAAACATTTTGAACTTGATGACTTGTTCAAACAGATCATATTTACTTATCAAAATATTGTTTAGATTCCAGACACAGCTAACCTGGCTTTTTTTTTTCCATTCTAAACTGACTTGGGTTAAAACTGCCACACGCACCGTTTTAGTAAGAGGATATGCACATGCTAAGAACATATGCATGATTCCTGACATTTTTCTGGTCAGTGGCCAGAATTATAGTCAAAAAGAAAAGTGCCTGGCTCTGAAAAAGAGCTTCAAATGGAAACTACAGAGGGAATCCTGAATCATTTAGTTGCGAAAGTGTGAACTAAATTAAAGATAACACTGTATGAAGAAACTATGTAATTTCATGATAAAAACTGAGAATTTCTTCCCTAAAATTCTCCGCCTCAACATCTCCCTCTCAACTGTTACAGCACTTCTTCTTCTATGACTAAACATTCCTGTTTCATATCATCATATATGGCTCGGTATCAGGCTTAGATTAATAGCACTCTCTTGTGAATGTCTTTGGACACTTTGGTATAGATAAGGTGCTGTATAATTGCAAGTTGTTGTTGTATAACAGGCAAAGCGCAGCATCCTCGTTATGGAAAAATATTCCAGATAAAGGCTGATTCAGGAAAGTCAATTACACTCATGGACTTGGCATCCCACTCTGTTTATATTTTAATCTAATCTGAATAAATCAAATTGATTCAGACAATGTGCTTACTTTGTTTATGTACTAAAAACATATTTTCCTATTTGTAAAGCTAACTTGCTTCGTTTCATCTTCAGCTCAATTCCAATTGATATGTTTGTAATATTTCTATCAAGAAAAGGGAATTATTTTCCATTTCTCACTACTAGAACCACCAACAAATGCCAACTTACATAGCTCCAGGCTCCCCTGTACAGAAAAGGAAGAATAAAGGCAAGACATGTTAGCAACACTGTGGTTGCCATAAGCACCCAATGCACCTAAAACAAGAACAATAAAAACAGAAGTCAAAAGTTGCAACAAGCAGTTTGCATTTTACTAACTGTGACTCAAAATTTAACTGTTTCAATACTTGTCTATTCCTCTGCGTATTCAGAACCAGTTCGAGTATCAGCAACCATATACAGTGATATGTCAACCTCTGAACAATCAAAACATGATAGCCTACTATAGTTAGAACATAGATTTTTGTTTCCAATGTACTGCTACTTTTAAAGTTAAACAAAACTGAACGTTGATTTATTATTAACACAACAAAGTGGCAAAACTTCCATTTTAGCTCATATCCGTGTACATGTTAGTGTTGAGAAACCCAAAGTCTACGGTCCAAGGAACTATTAAATTTGATGAATGTCTGATTGTGTGCATTGAAGAGCAGTGGTTAGGCAATGTCTACCCTGGGCTTTCGCAAACTAAAAATTGCAGGGGGAAGGAAATTTTGAAAGTTGCAACAAAGGCTGCTCAAGCTGTTCATCCATATCAAGGATCCTTCACTCTGCCATTTATACAATTTTAAATTGCAAAATGGTCATTCTAGGAAAGAATTATTCTACTACTTTATCTACAATCAAGAAACTGTTGATAGGAAGTGCAAATACGCACCTATAGCAGTTTGACTCAGCAGTCATTCACGCAATTTGAAGGGCTCTTGTGGAACAAGTTGCTATTAAAAAGGAAGAAATTTTGCCCATCTTAAAAAGTATTAAGGTAGATAAGTCCCCGGTCCTGATGGGATCTATCTCAGAATATTGAGGGAGGCAAGAGAACAAATTGCTGGAGCTTTGACAGACATCTTTGTATCCTTTTTGGCCACAGATGAGGTGCCAGAGTACTGGAGAATAGCCAGTGTTGGCCCATTGTTTAAGAAGGGTAGGAGGGATAATCCAGGAAATTACAGACCTGTGAGTCTCACGTCGGTGGTACGGAAATTATTGGAAAAGATTGCCAGGGACAAGATCTGTACGCATTTAGAAGCAAATGGACTTACTGGTGATTGACAGTAAAAAAGGCCTATGGCATGCTTGCCTTCATTGGAAGGGGCATTGCGTATGAGGATAGACAAGTTACCCCGCAGCTTTATAGAACTTTAGTTAGGCCACACTTGGAATATTGTATACAGTTCTGGTCACCACACTACCAAAAGGATGTACATGCTTTGGAGAGGGTACAGAAAAGGAAGGTTGTATAGACTGGGCTTGTTTTCACTAGAACGCTGCAGGTGGGGGGCAACCTAATGGAAGTTTATAAGATTGTGAATGGCATTGATAGAGTGGAACATATGAGGTTTTTTTTCCAGAGTGGAGGGTCAATTACTAGGAGACACAGGTTCAAGGTGCAAGGGGGGAAGTTTAAAAGAGATGCGCGAGGCAAGTTTTTCACACAAAGGGTGGTGAGTGCCTGAAATGCGTTGCCAGAGGAGGTGGTGGAAGCAGACACAATAGCAGCATTCAAGAAACACTTGGACGAATACGTAAATTAGAAGGGAACACAGGGATACGGATCCTGTAAGTGAAGACAGTTTAAGTGCGGAAGGGCAAAACGTGGCAGCACAGGCCTGGAGGTCCAAACAGCCTGTTCCCTTACTGTATTGTTTTTTGTTCTTTTTTTGTTCACAGTGGTAGTGTCCCTACCTGTGAGCCAGGAGGCCTGAGTTCAAGAAGCACCCTGTTCCAGAGGTGTGTAATAACATCTCTGAACAAGTTGATTTGAAAATAACTACAAGCAATTTGAATTTGCAGTGAATAATGCAGAACCGGGGCTTTCACAAAGTTTGCTATTGTACCATGAGTAGCACAGTGGTGACTGCTTGAAACTATGTTATGTCAAGCTGTCAGATGGCATTGGGAGTACCAGGGCAATTTATAGTTTGCTTTCTCTCCTTAACAACAGTTACTTTGCAAATTTATATAATAAAAACAAATTTCCAAACTAGTTTGTCTGTTTTGTGCATTATCATGCCTATGCCTACAGCATAGACACTTCTTGAGGGTTGGAACCAATACTGCTTACAAAAAAAGCACTGTATTATTCAGACTTTTCATTCAACATGCAATATGTCAAATGGAAGTTGTACTACAGTACAAGTTCACTTTTCAAAGCACTGTTAGGCATCCAGAAGTGAGAAAGTATAAATTAGTATCAGTATGTTTATGTCAAGAGATGGAGCAAATAAAAATGAATGGCTAAGTTCAGAGTTTTGAGAACCAGATCAGTTCTATCCATCTCTATCATTTTAAAACTATTTTTGTGAGTTGCTTTGACGTGGAGAGATAATGGGCTGAATCATGCTGGAAAAATATTAGCAGATTGACAGAACACATCATTACCAATATGTAAATTCACCATAAAGTTCAAGGTGAAGACATACACTGCAAATTATAAATCTTCAAAACCTGCTGGCTGATTACTGTTTACATAAACAGAATCTTGTCCTTAGCGTCCCTGTTACTTCGGAAGAATTTCCTGGATTTGCACATGAAACACAATGCAGGCAGTGAAGGCTGAAAGTGAACAGTGGAAGTACCTTCTTAACAATGCGATCTTTGTAATTGAATGCCAAACAATGTCAATACCCCAAAATGGAAAGCAATTCAACCATTCAAAATCATTCTTGCAGGTGTAAGTTGTTACGAGAGATTCTATGAATGTCAAATTATATTTTTGAATATCAAATTATATTTTTAAAACACGTTTTCTTTGTCTCTTTTTTCTCTCATTTTAATTTTTCTTTCCCTTTATTTATTGTTTTATACCTAATTTAACATGTAACCGTTCACCTTCTCCATTGTTTCTCTTGTTTCTTTCCAGAATATCCACAAGTTGCTACCATTGAATTTAAAACTGCATTAATCAAATATTATTGATAAAGCACTGAAATTTACCTGAAACCAAATCTTTTTGCCAAGCAATGTGCTGGATGGCCAGACAGGTTTAAAGAATCGAGCTACAATGACACCAATATTGGCTGCACTCACCCAAGCAATAAACATTAATGCTCCTAAGGATAAAAAAAAAAGAATTGCCATGACAAACTGGAATAAAGTATGAAGCTCTCCCTTGGATCAAACTAGCAAAGGCCCACAGTTTCTTGTATCCTTTCCTAGGCACCCTCACAAGGGAAATTGCTTGTTCAATTGCAGGATAATTCATAATTTAGTGACTGAATACTTGAACACACTGCATCTCAATGACTGTGGGTTGTTTAAGTCAATTTAAGACAAATACCACAATCAATGTAAAATGCAAAAGGGCAGGATCAGCATCCAGTAAAACAAGAAATTATCACACATTGAAATAGCAACACTGGGCCATCTGCACAGTGACTACCAAAAGCAGCAGGTTTTAGATAAAGCTCCATGACTCTACAACATATTAAAATGAAATAAGAGTAGGCTACTCAGCTCTTCGAGACTGCTCCAAGACGACAGATCAAAGATAGGGACTAGAGCTCTAGCTATTAAGAATAATAGTGGAGAAGATGAATTGTGAACAACCTGGATCATGGTGAAGTCCAGTGAAAACAGACTTGGTTGAAATATTTGTAAGCAACTGTTGTAAACAGTGTCTCTTTTGGCTGATATTACTCAACATCTCCTAAGATCCTCACCATGATGCCTGCTAATACCCAGCCTATTCACTTCACATCATGTGGCATTAGTATGTGACTGAGTACCCTGGACACTGCATAGACTGTAGAGCCTGATAATAGCTGCTCACCAAAACTAGCCACACACCACACCATCAATATCTTCCAGTGCATCTAAGTGGCAAGAAGCAAGTCAAATATAACTTAATTAATTATCACAACATCATTCTCTTTCAACTGACAAATGACATTAGGAGTTGAAGGCAATAATTAATAAATAAATACATAAATAATGTTACATGCCTTGTACAGGCCAATAACTTTTAAAAGAGGATTTTAGTTCTCAGTGACTGACTTATATCAATCGCATGCCAAAATAAGATTTTTGATATAGAAAACTAAAATCAATCTTGACTAAACATGAATCAGCAGGCAATTATGACTCTTAGCTACAAAAGGCATACTTCATCAGCATTTTAACATATTCAAAAATCCTCTGCCTCATTTATACATTGTACCAAGTTCTCAGCTGAATTGCAGTCTTTACAGGAACCAGCCCAAAATCACACTCAGCTCCTAACGATTCTGCCCATTTCATTAAGTCATAATGGCTAACGATCGTCCAAGGCCTTTTTCTGAGTCTTTTGTGAGAAATCCTGAACTGACCTCAGTAGCATGGCTCACTCAAGTGATTCCATCCTCTGACCAAATTTCAATGGTCTTCTCATTGACATCCTGTCTTATGGCTAATAATTAAAACAAAAACCTTTTCAGACCCCAATAACTGCTGTTTCTGGCTCTCACTCTCTCCCTCTGAATATGGATCATTTTTAGGTTGGCAGGATGTGACTAGTGGGGTACCATAGGGATCAAGTATTTGAACCTCACAAATTATATCAATGATTGGATGTGGGGGCTAAATGCATTATTTCCAAGTTTGCAGATGACGCAAAACTAAGCAGAAATGTAAGTTGAGAAGAGATTTGAAGAGGTTAAGTGAGTGAGCAAAAAATTGCCAGATGGAATACAATGTGGAGAAATGTGAGTTTATCCACTTTGATAGGAAAAACAAAAATACAGCGTATTTATTAACAGGTGAAAAGTTGAGAAATGTTGAACTTTAAAAGGACTTGGGTTTCCTTAATCATAAGTCACTGAAAGTTAATATCTAGGAATAGTAGATAATAAAGAAAGCAAAAAATATATTTGCCTTTATTACAAGAGGATTTGAGGAGCAAAGATATCTTACATAGAACATTAGTGAGACTACTTTTGGAGTATTGCGTGCAGTTTTGGTCTCCTTACCTAAGAAAAGATATACATACCATAGAGACATGAAGGTTCACCAAAATAATTCATGGATTGGAGGGATTGTCCTATGAGGGATGATGAAATAGTCTGGGTCTACATTTTTTGCAGTTTAGGAGAATGAGGGGTGATCTCATTCAAGCACTTCTCCAAAATGAAAAATGCTTTGCATAAGATTTATGGAGGATGTTTGGAATGACATTTTCTAATTTACACAGATCTGGAGAAGTTCATGGAAGTATTTGGAAAATATTAAGCTCTACATATAATAGAGTTACAGAATTTCTTTTGCAGAATTGAAGGCAATATTTGGGGTGTGGAAAAGTACATTACTGTTAAAATACCATTGGGCCAAAAATATTTTACTTTTAAGAAATTCTTTCTCCCACACATCACTATGGGAAACTTGATCGGTATGGACGAGCTGGACAGAAGGGTCTGTTTCTATGCTGTATGACTTTGACACTCTCACACTCAAAATGCTTATAGACACTGAGAGGGTACATGCAGGAAAGATCTGGCAGCTGTATGTGTGTGTGTTTGTGTGTGTCTGTGTGTGTTGGTGGTGGTGGGGAGGGGTGTTTTACTAAAGCCAGGGTATGCAACATCAGAATAAAAGCCAGGACATTTACAACTCAGAAGATGATGAGGAATTCCTTCAGAGGCTGGTGAACTTTTGGAACAATCTGTACCAGAAGGCTGTTGAGGCTCAGTTGTTGAGCTATGTTCAAAACAGAGATCAATACATTTCTACTTGCCACAAACGTCAAGAGACTGTGCAAGAATATGACGTTGAAGTAAAAGATCAGCTCTGGTATCACTGATTGGTGGACTGTGCTTAATGAACTGAATGGCCTACTCCTGTTCCTATGTTCTCTTCTCCTATTCCAGGATAGCTCACTTCCAGGAAAAAAAAAACAAAAAACAAATGAACTGTGGATGCCAGGAATCAGAAATAAAAACAGAATTTGCTAGAAAATCTCAGCAGGTCTGGCAGCATCTGTGGAGAGAAAGATCACTTCCTGAGTAGCCAGCGGTTTCAGGTGGGAAAAAAGACAAAGTTGCTGGAAAAGCTCAGCAGGTCCAGCAGCATCTGTGAGGAAAACAATGAGTTAAATTTTCGGGTCCAGTGACCCTTCCTCAGAAGGGTCTGAGGAAGGGTCACATGACCTGAAACAATAACTCTGAATTTTTTCTTCACAGATGCTGCCAGACTTGCTGAGCTTTTCCAGCAACTTTGTTTTTGTTCCTGATTTACAGAATCCTCAGTTCTTTCGGTTTCAGGTGGGATCAGCTTTCAAGTTCTCTGAAAATGACCTGGTGCAGGTAGAGCCCATCCTACAAGATTCATCTGGGGCCCAAAGTGAGGCCCAGGACCACAACAGCTACCTGACTCAAGGGAGCTGAGGTAATCAGCACCTCGAGCCTTGAAGAACATAATTCCAGTGTTGTAAATGCATCAGTGTAAATCCTACGGTGAGGTGAATGAAATGTTTTTATTCTTCAACCTGTTTATTCCTCTCAGTAGCAAAGGTCTCACACCATCCAAACACTCCCAATGTCCCTAACCTGACAAAAGTGGTCACCTTCGAATGAGGACCCACTTGGGTTTTTAAAGGTTCAAAAATGTACACCTGCACATGAAAATTGTATACAATAAGAAATATAATTTTCTTTTATTCCTAACAATCAGTACCCCAATCTCAGAAGAGGTATATGTACATAAAAAGGCCACACAAAAAATGGTAGAGTGACATAGAGGCACAGGAAAATTGTATTTCATGCAAAAGAAAAGCGAAGTTCAGAGTTTCACAACTCAATTTTCACTTAAAATGAGAGACAAAAATCCAGCTTACGGTTTTTACATTTCCATTGATCATTTTAGTGCAAGTCACTTACCATGAGCTTTAATATATAAGGGAGATCTAGAGCCTGTAAGTTCATGAGGTGATCCATCAAAGTCAACCTTGCTATGTGTGATCAGTGGTTGCTGGTGATGTTTATGAATTCTTCCTTTATTAAAACAAAACTACCAATAGTTATATCAACAGCAGTAAGCTAATTATAGAAATGATTTCTCATTGATCAGTCAGTAAATACCTTGTGTAGATTTAAGTCCTGCAATAGCTGACCTGCATAGCTATTTCTCATTTCTGAGAGACAGCATAGCAAATTCTGGCAGAATCCTAAATTCTGAAGGATATTACCACGAGCTATCACTCTTTTCCACAATATATCCTTTCCTTACCCAGTTCACACCTTCTCAAGGGCAAGCAGGACTGGGTAATAAATACTTCCTTAGCCATTGACACAAATATCCTATGAATTGTTAGGAACAATTAATTTCTTTGAGTTTAATTTATATTTTGTATTTTTTTTTCTGTGTTATGAAGAGGAGTCAAAGTTTAAGTTTCACTTTTTAAGTTGTTCTTATTGGTTTGGGTGCCAAGAAATCTGGAGGCCTGTTTGTTTGCATGCATTTTAATGATATTTTACAACCCTTGAAGATGGCAAGTGGTAGTTTAGCTCTCATTTGTTAAAAAAAATCTGTGCTACTGCCTAGTAACAGGGTTCAAGGGACTCACAGCAAGACAGAAAAATCTAAATGTGTGTATGTGCATGTATATCCTAGAGTGCAAAGATAATGGCTGTTAAACTCTCGAACAAGAATCCTGCAAGCTTATTGAAAATTGAGTTTAGGGAAATTGTGTGTTTGCTTTGAAGTTAAAATGACAATGAGTTTAGCTAGGAGTTTATTTTAACCATCCCAGGGAGAGACACCAGCTGCAGAAGAAAAGGATCTATTGAATACACAGAAAATCATTGGAAGGAAACAAGGCGCAGCTGTACCAGACTGAGCAAAAAGTCTTGGTGTGGAGATAATGATGAATCTTTGCTGGAGTATTATTGGGTTTTTTTAAATTCATTCAGTGGATGGGGCTTTGCTGGTTGGACAAGCATTACTTGCTCATCCCGAACTGACCTTGATAAGGTGGTGGTAAACTGTTTCCTTGAACCATTGCAGTCAATTTGATATTGGTACACCCACAATATTTTTAAAGAGGGAGTTCCAGAACCTTGATGGGTTAGACGGGATAGTGCAAGTTTGAATTCTTTTCTGGTATTTGTACTGAAATTCTGACAATTTTTTGTCTACTACAATATAGCTCAGGCTCTTCAGTTTTATAAATGTTTTATTTTTTGCGGTGAAAGAATCTTGAAAGACCCTTGTGTATGTGTTCAGTAAGAGACCTCAGTGGTTAATAAATATATAAAATCAGAGTCTCTCAAGCACGTTTCACTCTGAGATCAGACTTGTATCATATTAAAATCAGCTGGAATCAAAACAAATGATTATTTTAAAGATTTCTCTTTTTGGTAGTGAATCCCCATCAAGAATAAAAATCTTGGCTGGTTTTTAGCCTAGGATGGGTTAGCCAATTCCAATATCTCCGGAGGTGATCTCATTCAAACATATAAAATTCTTACAAGCTATGATGAGATTCTCCTGGCTGGTGTCCCAGAACTAGAACAAATAGTCACAGAATAAAGGAGCGAGGCATTTAATATTGAGATAAAGAGGAACTACTTCAAAAGCTGGTGAGTTTTGGAATGTTCCATCCCAAAGAACTATGAAAGCTCAATCATTAAGAGTTTTCAAGACAGAAATCAATAGATTTCAGGTTACCAAAGGAATATGAGATAATGAGGAAAAAGTGTCATAGAGGTAGATGATCAACCGTTATCTGTTTGCATGACAGAGCAGGCTTAACAGGTTAAACGTTCTCCTCTTATTTCCTATATCCTATATACTTCTTCCTTGACAGAGATCAGCAAATTCAGCTTAGATACAAACCAATCCCACCACGTTTTTATATTCTTATTTTAACAGGTGAACCAAAGAGCCAGATGTATGCCAATGCACACAAATGTGTGATTTCAAAGGCCTTTTAAGATGGCGCATAGGTTAAACTGAGCTGGATCACAGCAGAGTGATGTCTCCATCTGTCTTTCCTCCCATCCTCATTTCTGAGGGTTTGGCCGTTGCATTAGGCAGCGCATATAAGAAAAGTACTTTAGTGGTTCCATCATTGTTTAGCTGACCAGGATCTTCTCCCACTGTTACCATCTGTGATCAGGCACATTAGAGAGAATTAAAGGCAGACAATTGACCTGTTTGGCTATTTTACAAATGCACCTTCCGTGGCCAACAAGTTCTACCATGGGAGTTGAACCCAGACCCTCTGCTCCAGAAGTAGGTTGATACCACTGCACTACTGGACCTCTGTAGCAGTTAAAAAAACAGCTCTATTCCATCAGTGCCTTTAGGAGTAGAGAAAAGAGCTGATGGATATTTTTGGGAACTGCAAGGGGTGAGGGGCTGAAGGATTTTGGTTGCAGGAGGTGTGATGGAAGCTTCTGTAAATTGGGGCAGTTGGAAGAGAGATGGTAGGTGTTTTATGAACTGGGGTTTAGAGATGAATTATATGTACTTTAGAAATTGAATGAGTGGAAGAGTACCTCTGGAGGGAGTGAAGTGTCACCGTGCTGACGGAAAGTAATGGTGCGACTTGCTTTAGGGGTTATACGTTTAGATTTTCAGTTGAGAATGGATAAACCACTAAGTAGCTTCATTTTTTTTCTATAGTTTTTCTGCATTTAATACCTCTTTGTGGTGAATTTTAAGTGATTCATTGCTCGAGTCATACAACTTGGGAGGCACCTCACATGATTGGGCTTTAGTGTGCAGAGAAATTAGAATCCTGACCTGATTTCCTATCTAACTTGGCGATGCATATTGTGAAGATCACCGTGAAGTGAGGCACAAACGTGCACGAGAAGCTCACAGTGTAGTGCGATGTCACTACCAGAGTCAGAGAAGCACGCTACCTATATGTCGCATATTTGTCTGTTAAACATAAGTGTGTCATATTGCTGCAACCTGCATGTTGCATGGAAATTTATGGAAAAAGTCAAGGTGGGCTCAACAGAGGTTATTCTAGAACGAGTAACAGGGAAGACATTATTAAAGAGTCAGGAAACTAACTTCAAGCATAGCAGATAAGGGAACATCTATGAAAAGTGGGGACAGTCAATACAGGACTGAGGACGTTGTATTTAAAAGCAAACGGTATATGAAAGAAGGTAAATGAGCTTGTAGTGCAGATTGAAAATTAGCAGGTATGATGTTGTAGGCATCACAGAGATGTGGCTGCAAGGGGATCAGGGCTTGGAACTAAATATCCAAGATACACATCCTATTGAAAGGACAGGCAGATGGGCAGTGAGAGCAGGCTTGCCTTATTAATAAGAAACAAAAATTAAATCAATAGCAAGAAGTGACGGAGGGCATAGGTTTAAGGTGAGAGGGGAAAGATTTATAAAGGACCTGAGGGGTAACATTTTCACACAGGGGGTGGAGCCTGTATGGAACGAGTTGCCCAAGGAAGTAGTGGTGGTGGGTACAATTACAACATTTAAAAGGCATTTAGATGGGTATATGACTAGGAAGAGTTTAGAGGGATGTGGGCCAAATGCTCGTAAATGGGCCTAAACAGGGGGGATGTCTGGTCAGCGTGGACAAGTTGGAACGAAGGGTCTGTTTCTCTGCTGTATAATTCTACGAGTCTATGACTCAATGATATAGAATAGGAAGCCATAGAATCTGTGTGGGTAGAGTTGAGGAACCACAAAGCAAAAACAACCCTGATGGGAGTTGTGTACTGGCCTCCGAGCAGTAGGATGTGGGGATGAAAATAAATCAGGAGATGGAAAAGGCATGTAAGAAAGGCAGTATTACAGTAATCATGGGGGACTTCAATATGCAGGTGGATTGGGTAAATCAGGTTGTTAGCAGATCTCAAGTAAAGAAATTTGTGGAGTATCTACAAGGTGTTATTTTTACAGCAGCCTGTGGTACAGCTCATGAGGGAACAGACAATTCCAGATTTGGTGATGTTTAAAGAGGCAGACTTGATTAGGGAGCTTAAGGTGAAGGAACCCCTTGGGGCAGTGACCATAATATGGTAGAATACATCCAGTAGTTTGAGAGGGAGAAGATTGAATCAGATGTAACGGCATTACAATTGAATAAAGACATGAGAGAAGAGCTGACGAGAGTTTATTGGAGGGGGAGTCTAGCAAAGAAGACAGTGGAGCAGCAATGGCAGTTGTTTCTGGAAATAATTCAGGAGGCACAGCAAAATTTTATCTCAAGGAAGAAGAAACGTATTAAGGGGAGGATTAGGCAACTATGGCTGACAAGAGATGTCAGGGACAGCATAAAAGCCCAAAGAGAAAGCATACAATATACTGAAGATTCGTGGGAAGCTAGAGGATTATGAAACTTCTAAAAACCAGCACAGGATCACTAAAAATGCAATAAGGGGAAAGAAGATGAAGTATGAGAATAAGCTAGATAGTAATATAAAAGAATATTGCAAGAGTTTTTTTTTACATAAAAGGTAAGTGGGAAGCAAGACTGGACATTGGACCACTAGAAAATGAGGCTGGAGAAGTAGTAATGGGGAACAAAGAAATGGCAGAGGAACTGAATAGGTACCTGTGTCAGTTTTCACAGTGGAAGACACCAGCAGCATACCAAAATTTCAAGACAGTCAAAGAACAGAGGTAAGTGTATTGGCCATCGCCAAGGAGAATGTGCGGGTTACACTGAAAGGTCTGAAGGCATTAAATCACCTGGCCCAGATAGACTACACACAAGAGTTCTGAAGGAGATAGTTGAGGAGATTGAGGAGGCATTGGTGGTGAGCCTTCAGGAATCACTGGTGTTAGGGAGGGTCCCAGAGGGTTAGAAAATGCTGAACATAGTACCCCTGTTTAAGTAGGGATGGAGGCAGAACACAGGAGACTATAGGCTGTAACATGATCTCGATTGCTGGTAAGATTTTTTATTAAGGATGGGATTGTGAAATACTTGGAAATGCATTGTTAAACAGGACTGGGTCAACACACAGTTTCATCAAAGGGAGGTCATGCCTGACAAGTCTATTATAATTCTTTGAGGAGTTAGCAAGTAATTGAGATGAAGCAGAGGCAGTGAACGTGATCTACTTGGATTTCCAGAAGGGTTTTGACAAGGTGCTGCACCATATGCTATAAATAAGACAACAGCCCATATTGTTATGTGCAAGGTACTGGCATGAATGGAAGATTGGCTGGCTGGAAGAAAGCAGAGGGTAGGGAAAAAGGGGTCGTTTCAGTATGGCAGCTGGTTACTTGTGGAATTCTGCAGGGGTCCATGGTAGGGCCACAACTGTTCACATTTTCATTAATGATCTGGATAAAGGAACTGAAGGCATTGTTGTTAAGATTGCAAATGACACAAAGATAGGTGGAGGGACATGCAGTGTTGAGGAGGCAGTGGAGCTACAGAAGGACTTGGACAGGTCAGTAGAGCAGGCAAAAAAGTGGCAGATAGAATACAACGTGGGAAAGTGTACGGTTATGCATTCAGGGTAGGATGAATAGAGGCATAGACTATTTTCTAAATGGGGAAAGGCTTCAGAAATCTGAAGCACAAAGGGACTTGGAAGTCCTCATTCAGGATTCTCTTAAGGTTAACATGCAGGTTCAGTTAGCAGTTAGGAAGGCAAATGCAATGTTTGCATTAATTTGAGTGGGTTAGAATATAAGAGCAGAGAGGTACTACTACGGCTGTATAACGCTCTGGTCAGACAGCATTTGGAATATGATGAGCAGTTTTGGGCCCCATATCTAAGAAAGGATGTTTTGGTATTGAATGGTGTTCAGAATAGGGTTACAAGAATGATCCTGGGACGAAGGGTTTGTCATATGAGGAGTGGATGAGGACTCTGGGTCCATACTTGATGGAGTTTAGAAGGATGATGGGGCGAGGGGGGTGGGTTTGACTGAAACTTACAGAATACTGACAGGCCTGGATACAGTGGACATGAAGAAGATGTTTCCACTAGTAGGAGAGATGAGGACCTGAGGGCACAGCCTCAGGGTGAAGGAGCAACCCTTTGGAACTAAGATGAAAAGGAATTTCTACAGCCAGAGGGTAGCGAATTTGTGGAACTCTTTGCCACAGAGGGCTGTGGAGGCCAAGTCACTGAGAACATTTAAAACAGAGCTTGATAGATTTTTGATTGGGAAGGAGATCAAGGGTTACAGGTAGAAGGCAAGAGAATGGGGTTGAGAAATATACCAGCCATGATCGAATGGCAGAACAGACTCAATAGGCTGAATGGCCTAATTCTGCTCCTGATCTTATGGTCTTATAGTCACTGTGCATGAAACATGGTGATATCAGCAACAGAGATAGTAGGAACTGCAGATGCTGGAGAATCCGAGACAACAAGGTGCAGGGCTGGATGAACACAGCAGGCCAAGCAGCATCATAGGAGCAGAGAGGCTGACGTTTCGGGCCTAGACCCTTCATCAGAAAAGGGGGAGGGGAAGGGGGTTTTGAAATAAATAGGGAGAGAGTGGGAGGCGGATAGAAGAGGGATAGAGGAGAGGATAGGTGGAGAGGAAACAAACAGGTCGAAGAGGCGGGGATGGAGCCAGGAAAGGTGAGTGTAGGTAGGGAGTTAGGAAGGGGATAGGTCAGTCCAGGGAGGACGGACAGGTCAAGGGGGCGGGATGAGGTTGGTCGGTAGGAGATGGAGGTGCGGCTTGAGGTGGGAGGAGGGGATAGGTGGGAGGAAGAACAGGTTAGGGAGGCAGGGACGAGCTGGACTGGTTTTGGGATGCGGTAGGGGGAGGGGAGATTTTGAAACTTGTGAAATCCACATTGATACCATT